CATCGTTATATATTTAAAACATGCAAACACGGAACGGTTATAGTTTTAATAAAATGCGAGCATCTTACTTTTTCAGCTGTCTAAATAAGTTTTTGACTTATGAAATGTATAGGGCAAATGTGAAGAGAACTCATGATTTTTATTTACAGAAATTCGTACACTAAGTTTGAGTTTCATGGTGATGTCTCAAATGAGTTACATTACTATTTTATGCAGTTGTAATTATATCCTTGATTGCTTCGATCTATGCTAAGGTCGGAGCATTATTCATCTAACTAAAACAACCAACTTAAGATTATTCTAAGTATTCGATAAGTTTTGAAAAACTTTTTTGTTTGAGATAAATATTGAATTAAATTTAGTCTTGATTCTTTATGTTCCAGAACTACATGTCTTAAGAACGTATCTATTTTTTGTTTTATTTTAGATTACATCGTACATCGATAATTAACATGAGAGAATGAGCTTCACAAGCGACGAAGTGAACTACCTTATTTACAGATATTTGTCAGAATCAGGTAAGCCAGTCGAAGTTTTTACAATTAAATTACGGATCATTTCTCTGTTATATATAAAATCTGCAGCTACAAAATGAAAAAAACACGTATTTTCATTAAATATTTGTATAATTTACAGAGAAATAGAGAAATAATATAGTTTTGAATTAGATTAGTTCTTAAGATCAGACGATAAGTGCAGTAAGAATGCCTAAACAACCAATACATATGACGTAATGTTTCCCGTCATTCATTTTTTTTTAATGTTTGAAAGATGATACCAGTTGCAAGAACCAGATATATCTATGCTGCACAGCTGTTACACAAGTATAATTGTCGGAAGCCCATTAAAATAGCACCATATGTTCAACAATCAACATATTTTTTCATAAAAATTTAAACATACGTTAAAAAGTGTGTCATCTGAAAAAATCTCAGTTTACAAAGTAATTCATACGTGAAAAATAAAGTGAAATTTATGTGATAAAGTAATTTAGTTTTGATTTTTATTATGTGCTTTAAAATTTTTTCCAGTACGTATCATATTTTTCTTTAATAGATGGATTCCTTCTATTGTATCACAGAAATATTTATTACGACGGCAATAAAAATATCTCTATTACGTTTTGATTTGATAGTTTTGCAAGTACATTACAAAATCATTTTTGCAGAGCAAAAAACATAGAAATGTCAGCGACCCGGTGTGTCTGCAATAAAAAGAAAGAATCTAACGTTATAGTTGCCTGGAAAGAAGACCCAGACATGTGTTAAAATTAATCATTAGTGACAATTTACCGGAAAAAATACAAGTTTATCTTAGACAAACGAGCATTTTTACTTTGTCTTTTCTCTGTTTATTAGCATAGACGAACTATTTCAATCTATGAACAAGAAATATTTGACCTATGCTCTATAAAAAACAAAGACTGCCTATCGACAGGGTCTGCGAGAAAGTCTGATGTTTCACTCCAGCAAGCAAAAATCCTACGGGCAGGTTTGCACAGGTGTGCAGGGAACATTATGACAGACCTTGGAAGATCTGAGCACCGCTCTATCGTATACCACTGCGATATTCAGGGATAGGCGTCGACAGGCAGTCGTTTTTTATAGGATACTTTCTTTCCTTTTATGCGTATGTGTGGCGAAAAATAATTTATTAGCATTTTTTTAATTAATTTTTATCTTAGCTTTCATCTTTGTATAATTTGATTTCTATTCTAGGATTTGTTCATTCAGCCTATTTATTTGGACTTGAAAGTCATATTGCTCAAACATCAATTAATGGAAGTATTATACCACCTGGAGCTTTACTGTCACTTATTCAAAAAGGATTATATTATACAGAAGCAGAATTGTCAATCGGTGATGTAAGTACTCGAAGACACCTGTCTGTATTTTTCTAACCTGTGCAAACACATTCTCGTTATAAATTCTGCAGAAATACTGGCTATATGGTAAAAAAGCTGTTAAAAATTTCATTCTTTATCACACTGAAAATGAACTTACTTTTCCCTGCATTTTTATAAATTATCTATTAGATAAATTTCATCTAAGATTTATATGCACTGTAAAAATCCTGTTAGGTTCAATTATAACACCAAAACAGTTTAGAACTAGAAAAAAGATTATTTCGGATCATGACACCAAATTTTAGCGTACATCTTGCATATTCATTGAGTGTTTTACATATGTTTACTTGATTTTAACAATGGATCAATTTGTCAAGAATATAAAACAACAACAACAAAAGATGATGTCATTAGATGTTATAACAATATTTAATAATATATAACAGATGTCACCATTTGTCAGTGTTTTTTCCTTTTGAATCATCGTTTTATTTTGCCTCAGAATGAGAATAAATATACAACATATTAATTTGAAGTTTAAAAAGGGCGTCTGTTTACCAATAACACATAGTTTTCTTTAAAAAAAGACACTGTGCGGAATGGCTATCAAGACATTTCGGACGCATAATCTTTGAAAACCGGAGCAGTTGGCTTGAAAATACGGCCGGCGCTCCACTATAAATTTAAATAGATATGAAAAGAAAAAATACTAGACACCAGTTTTAATTCTTTAGATCTGAATGCATACGTAAATCTTTATTTTACAGTTATGTTGGTTTTTTTAGGAAGGCCAAGAACGTGCATTCGAAACACTTAGTCTCATTGATGCGGTTGTGCCAGAAACTATCGAGATCCGTCGAAAAGAAATTCTTAATCAAAATCAGAATGTTAAACAAGAGAAACCAAATACTTCATCATCATCGTCAATAGCCACAGCCATAACGACTAGTACTACGTTTTCAACCTCGTCACCGCAAACTAGTACAACGGTCACAATTACGCCCTCTTCCACAGTAATTACTCCTACAAATAATGAAAGTAGTAGCACGTCATACGTTAATAATTCGATAAGATCGAGTATTGATTATTCGACTTATTCGACCAATGGACTATCGAACCATAGCAGTGCCATTGAAACATCGTCCTCTAGTATACCGTCCAATAATACGTCACAAACTTCTTCATCCTTAATGTCGCAAGTACGACCATTTTTACATATAACGAACACGTCGCCCAAACCAACATCCTCGCCTCATATTCTGTCGTCGACAGGTTCAACAAATTATACAAATAGTAATATATCAAATGGAACAGAACATTACAATATGAATAATCACATAATAGGTAGGATATCATAGTCTACGTACATCCTAAAGTAAGAAATTGACAGATACTCTTCATTAATTTGTTTATTACGAAAAGGATGATCCTAACTCTAATTATACTGTTTTTAGTGCCAAAACCAGAATCGATGGATTATGAGTCCATTCATCAAACAAATTTAAGAAATTCCACAACACCTACATCTACTGTTTCAACTGGCGGACTGAAAAACGGTATCGATATTTCGCCGAATCGCGTTAATGTATTACGTGGACACGAATCAGAAGTATTTATATGTGCATGGAATCCTGCAGCAGATCTATTAGCATCTGGGTCAGGTGACTCAACAGCTCGAATATGGAATCTGATGGATCCTAATGGACCAGAAACGGTGTTGAGACATTGTATAAGACGAGGAGATACCCAAGTACCAAGTAATAAAGACGTTACATCGTTGGATTGGAATGTAAGTGTGAAAAAATATGGATATTCACTAACTGCATGCAAGAAATAAACGAGGCTCTCTGATGTTGTTTAGCCGACTGGAACACAACTGGCAACAGGATCATATGATGGTTACGCACGTATTTGGTCAACAGATGGCACTCTAGTCAGCACATTAGGACAACATAAAGGACCAATATTTGCATTGAAATGGAATAAAAAAGGAAACTATATATTGTCAGCTGGAGTAGATCGAGTACGTATAATTTCTGTCTATTTGTTTAAAGTAAAATGAAATAATTGAGGATGTAGTAAAAACGCTAGTTTTGTTTACCCTCTCGAGAAAATGGTCAAATAAGTACGGTTTCGTGTGTTTATGTGTTTATTACATATTTTTTAGACTACAATCATCTGGGACTCTAGTTCTGGCTCATGTGAACAACAGTTCTCGTATCATACAGCACCAGCATTAGACGTGGATTGGCAATCAGATGAAGCATTTGCATCGTGCAGTACCGATCAAAAAATACATGTTTGCGCATTAGGTTGTGACAGACCGCTCAAAACATTCATTGGACATCAAAATGAAGTGAATGCTATTAAGTGGGATCCACAAGGCCAGTTATTAGCATCATGTTCCGATGATATGACACTCAAAGTACGTTTTCACTCTTTTTTTCCACAAAAATGCGTGTACAAACGTTGACTATTTTACAGATTTGGACAATAAGTAAAGATCAACCATTGCATAATTTACAAGCTCATAATAAAGAAATTTATACAATTAAATGGAGTCCTACGGGACCGGGAACTATAAATCCAAATGCATCATTACTATTAGCGAGGTAAACGAATGGATTAGTGGATGAAATTTAAAAAAAAACATTTTCATATATTTTATTACAGTGCATCGTTCGATTCAACTGTTCGCCTTTGGGATGTTGAACGTGGAAGTTGTTTGCATACGCTAATGAAACATTCAGAACCAGTTTATTCAGTTGCATTTAGTCCTGATGGAAGATTTTTAGCTACAGGATCATTTGATAAATGTATTCATATTTGGGAAATAGTGGTACGTTTTCAGAAATGGGAATTATTTTACAAATTTTCATGTTTCTGGTTTCTTTTCAATTTGTAGAGTGGAGAAATTGTGCATAGTTATCGTGGTACAGGTGGTATATTCGAGGTTTGTTGGAACAGTCGGGGAAATCGAGTGGGGGCAAGTGCATCAGATGGAACAGTAAGTAGCACATTTGTCATGGTGAAGTTCTTTCGTAGTTAGAATATATAATTGGTGGAAAATAAGATACTATCTTTTTTTTCTTTATTTTTAGGTGTGTGTACTAGATTTAAGAAGATAATTTCAACAAAGAAACTATTTTATTATGAGTATTTCATAAAAAATGTCTTTAACAAACAGCTGTGATGAATTATTAATCCTAAGTGACGAACGACATTGTTGTTGCTTATGTTATGTTAATGAATAACTTGATCCTTTTTGTTGTTGTTGTTGTTAAGCGATCTCTCATACGATTACTAAAAGTCTTGTTGTTTTTCTCATTTTCGTGTTTGTTGTCAAAAATTGCAAACAGATTTATTTTTAAATTATTTCACATAAAAAAGATCAGCGCAATATAATACTCATAGACAACTTCGAGACAAAAATGTACAGCTTTTGTAAGACCCTTCATCTCATCTTTACCAACTATTTGACTTATTGTTGTTGGAATGATCTCACATACGTTAATTTGCACATATTTTTTTCATTTTTCAGTGTTTTTTTCGCCATTCTCTTATTTTTCAAATGCAGTGATATATGTGTATATGTGCATGAAAATACAAAATCCCGACCGTCAACTCACGCGACAATCTTTTCACTTTTGTGTGTGTGTGTGTGTGTGTGTGTGTGTGTGTGTGTCAGTCGTAAGGAATTTTTCATTATACATATCTTTTTCGTTGGTTATGTTAAAACAATTAATTTTATTAAAAATATATATGATGATTGTGTGTTCAAAACTTGTCGTTTTTTCTTTGTGTTTGTTTATCTCCAATCTGTGTACTATCTCTGTTTTTTTTTATATTTAAAACCTATAGCAAACAAGAGAGACAATAAGAAAGAAAAAGAAAGAAAAACGACATAATCACACTAAATATACTATGATGTAGCGATTA